TCACAGACAGCTATGACCATGCGACATATAACAAATCTGCGTCGCTCTGAACTTGCACAAAACATACAAAACATACAACACATGACTTCGAATTCTTCTACAAGCAATGTAACTCAACAGACCAATAATATACAAAATAATCAATTACGTCAATCTATGGCTCAAGCACCGAGGCAACAGAATAATATTACATTGCCAAACGTAGGATTAAACGTACCTTCTAATTCAGTTCATCCATCAAAAATGGTTCTTTCATCTGGGATGGGACCATCTCCCTCTACACCCGGTATAAGACAGAATAATGGAATACAATCAAGTAGTTCAACTAAACCTATAATAGCTCATGGATTATTTACACCGAATAATATGTCACAAACACCCGGATCATCAAACGTAAGACAGAATGTATTGAATCTCCAAAAATTACTCATGAACCAAAATATTTCTGGTGTTAATGGGTCACATAATATCAATGTGAACACTAACTCATCTCTTGGTAATAATGGTTCGCAGACGATTAATGTGAATCCAAATGTCTCATTGGGTACTAACGGTCAATTTGTTCAGGGTAACCTTATGGGAATGGTACGTTATAACGGATGTATCGATTTTAATAATAATAACTCTGAAGCCTAATTAACAAGACGCGATAAAATCTATTTTGATTCAACAGAACGGCATTATTCCAGCAAATGGACAACCAACTAGTATAATGCAATTAAATGGTCGAAGCTATATCATTTCCAATAATATGTCTCAACTTAATGGCGCTAGCAACTTAGGTCTTAGACCAGGTAACGGGTCTGCTAATTTGGGCTCACGACCTAATAACATGGTTCTTCCGATCAATCTCCGACAAGGTACTCCAACTCTTCGACAGGTACCTACGAACGGCGCAGCTGCAGCTTTACGTCATAATATGGTACATCCAAATGGTTTTATTACTAATGGTGCTAACTTTAGACAAATTAATTCGACCCAGATGAGACCACAACAACCTATGATGAGGCACAATATGATTTTGAATCCTCAAATGTTACCGAGTCAAATTTTAACAAACGGTCAAAATAATAACCTTGAAATTTTGCTTACAAATAGTCCAATACAAAATAACGTAAGCCCAGCAAGTGTGTCGACATCGAATGGTGGCAATAATTCGGTTGGAACACCTTCACCACAACCTCAAGCAGAACAAAGAACTGTTCGTTAGCGTGTTGAATGTCGTGATGTGTTTTTGGAGTGAAGGATTTTTTTTTTTATCAAAAACTTTACATTATTATTATTATTATTTTCCAAAGCTAATTAATTAGGGAAATTTTGTTCCATCTATTTTTTTTTTTTTTTTTAAAAAAAAAAAAAAAGGAAAAGGAAAGGAAAAAGTGGCTTGGTTATTTAGAGAATTTGTAGAACCAATGAGTGGTTCTTAATGCAACATCAACCATGTAAAAAAAAAAAAAAAAAAAAAAAAAAAAAAAACTTGAATTAGTGTTTGGTAAGTTAAATATAATTTTTTTTGCTTATATTGGCATAACTATAAGCCAAAAGGAACGAGAATGTGATTAATTTTCAGATGGTTAAGTTAAATAGGGGTATAATTACGTTATTTGTGAAAGATATTTATATTTGCTTAGTCTGTTAGAATACCAAAAAAAAAAAAAAAAGAATTTGAAACCATATTTAAACGCCGTATATACAAATTAAATTAATGGCGAATTATTTACAATGGTTTCGCACCGACTCTTTATATAATTTTTCGGAGTCCATTGTTTGTATAAAGTAAATAAATTGTAAATTTTTTCCTCTTTTTTCTATATAAATCAATTCATCCCATTATCGATATTATAAAGCTACATTCTTACAAAAAATTTTCTTTTTAATTTCGTGTATATAGTTCTATAATATATATATATCATTCAAAAAAAAAAAGAAAAAGAGAATACCTCGGTCTTCATTATATT